GGGGGGCGGGCGGCGGGGGCGACAGGTGCTGCCTCGTGCTTTTGCTTGCTGCAACGCGACGGTGTCTTGCTTGCTTATTTGAGGGATGAAGGGAAGAGTCCACTGCAGTGCGGTTGCGGGCACGGGTCCGGCAGCTTGTTGGCACTTGCCAGCACAGCTGGCCCGCCATAGTAGGCGGCCTGGTCCGTGAACGCGTAACAACTTCATTAGCCAGAGTCCACAAGCATGCATTTGTTCGGGTGACTCCAGGCGTGGCTGCCAGTGCCTCACACACCCTTGGCTGCGAAGAGTTGCTCGTGCCTCGTACCTCATGCCTGCTCGTAAACTCGCTTCATCTTGGGTGTCATCGCCTAGGAGTCACTGTAAAAGATACCAAGCGGCTTGTCTCTCTCTCTCTCTCTTCTTTTTGGCTGCGCTTTGTGGTTCAATTGCTGTCAGAACCTGCCGGTGTCTCTTCTGCACGACACTGCCATGGCGCCCGATGCCAGTGAACGCGTCGCCAAGTGGGACGAGGAGTGGGCCACCAATGGCGAGGCTTCCCGCACCAATCTCAAGGCAGCCCATGACAACCTTGTCAAGGCCACCAAAGCCTTTCATGATGCGCAAACCAATGTACGTTTAGCCGAACAACCAGCTGCCACTCAAGCTAGCCGCCACGCAAGCTCCTTGTTGATCCAATGGCGCAGGCGATTCACCTCATCTTGCCTCACTTTTCATTCTGAATGACGCAGTGCCAAAAACAGCTCAAGAGCCACACAAAGCTGATGAAGGAGCTGAATTTTGACCTGAAAAAGTAGGCTTCAAGTTGTTGTTGTTGTTGACCCTGTTTCGCGCGCCACCTTCCATGGCCTCGGCCTCACCTTGATTGTATGAATATGACCAAGGCTGCGCTCATCAGGCGAGGTGGACGAGCCCGACTGGGCCTCGCGACGCAAGAAAATTCTGGAGAATGAGAGCTTGATGAAGAACGTCAAATTTACTCTCCCCATGGACATCAGGTTGGTCCCTGCCGCCATCAGCCCCACCCAGCTCGCCATGGCGCCTGGCGTCCAATTCAAGAAGCTCCTGAGCAATGGCTCACAAGCATATCGATGTACTTTTGTCCGTTAAATCACCTGTACTTCGTCGTCCTACGGCACACCTGCCTAGCTTGCCCCTCAAGCTACTTTTGGGCAACGTGAACTTGACCTTGCCCCACGTGAAGCAGCGGTGCGTGTCGACTGGGCCATTGTTGGGCCTTGTATTCCTGCTGTTTGCACTAGCTCACATTTTTTGAATCCCCTCGTTCTGGGCTTACACAGATGGCAATACAAGGAGGATTACGAAAAGTTCAAGCTGCATTGCACCTATGGCATCATCGTTGGTGCCCTCCTGTGCGTGTATTTCAGCTCCACGTAAGTTCCCTCTTTGACTCATGCAACTCTTTTCGTTGGGTCCGTCTGCTACGGTAAAGCTCTTGGGGTGTATGGACCAAGGGCTTGTGTGGGTCTGGCTGTCGTTCATGCCACGATAATAATGTTCGCATTTGTCACGGCTGTTTGATAGCTTGATGAACACGCTGTTTTACGTCTTTCTGGGCTGGTATTATGGCAGCGTCACCATCCGCGAGGTTTGTTGTGTTCGCAGACACCCACTAGAGCCTGCATGCGTCGAATGAACAGCACTCTTGCTCATTTTTCTGGCTTGCAATTTCTTGAACAGCTGATTCTCAAAGCCAATGGCTCTAATATCAAGTTGTGGTGGCTCTTTCATCACTACTCGTCGATTGTGGTCTCGGCCGTGTTGCTGCTCTGGTCTCACACTCCGGCTTGTCTGGAGTTTGAGTACTACTTTAAAATCTTTTCCATCTATCAAGGTACATGCGTTGGCTTGAGTTCAAGCACGGGTTGTGGCTTGTGCTGACAGATGCTGCTTGTGCACAGGCATTGTGCAGGTCATGCAATACCGGTATCAGAGCGCGACTCTGTACAAGAAGCGCGCCCTTGGCGAGTCACAGCTTCTGGACACGACTACCGGTACGTCTGCCTGCGTGAAGGGAGATGACATTGTACACAACGCTTGCGGGGTGGCCTGCCCGTCTGGCTGTCGGCGCTAAATCACCAAATCATGCTTGGCTTGATAGATTTACCGAACCGCTGGACGCTCTCTTTCCTCGTTGGATTCTTGACCCTGGCTTATGTACGTCAAGTGCTAAACCGGGCCTCACTGAGTTACACGAGCCTCTTGCGTTGCTGTGACCTCACGGCGGCATGTATGGTATGCTCTGTCTGCCTTTGTCCTCAGCTTTTCCAGCTATTCAACTCATTCAAGCTCTCGATGATCTATATGCGCACGGGCGAGTGGGAGGTACGTGATGTGTTTGTCGCAGTGGCGTTTCCCCAGTCGCCGGAGAGGGTGTCATTCGGTGTTTGGGAGGTGCCCATGAATTGTCAATCGGTTTGAAATCACTCTCATTCTGGATTGGCATGTGCTGGTGATTGTAGGCGGTGATCCTTGCTGTTTTGCAGTTTGTGATGGGTGTGGGCAACACGTGCATTACCAGTCTGGTGGTTTTTCGCAAGTTCTTCCCCGATTCTCAGTCTGCTGCTTGGGTTTCGCGTCTTCTCAACAAAAATGCTTAGGGGAAGCCTTTTGCTTTTTGTTTTCTTGCAAATCCAACTCGCATGGTTCCGTTTTTCTTTCCTGCAAACACAACAAGGGCATCTACTTTTGCGTTCTGTCTCAAACAAGGGGTCGTTGTGCTGGCACGGTGGAAAAAAAAGGTGGGGGGGAGGGAACACTGCGTGAATTGCCGAGTCGGGTTATGTCTGCTGTCATAAACCATCCGCGATGAGGACGTTGGAAAAGATCACTGACATGTGAGTTGAGCTTTTAAATTTTTTTGGAAGAGCAAGTAAAAAAAAGTGTGAGAAAAAAAGGTTGGCGCATAAAAACGTGGGCATCTATCCTGGTACAATCGCTCACGGAAATTGAGGGCCGCGGCGTTGGAGCCGGGATGCATGGCACGGTAAACCGGCAGAGCTTCACCTCAAAAAAAAGAACAAAACAAACATGATATACAACAACGCGAGTCGCGGACAGGAAGACAGGAAGGAATTTTTGGGCAAGGAAGCTTACACAAGAACCAAACGAATGGAAAGCGAAACAAGCCGGTGATAAACACAACGGGAGGCACAGCCGGACTATAGCTTCATTTTCTAGAGCAAAGAGCAGCCACCCTTCTTCTTGGTCTTGACCGTCATGCTGGCGCGAGTGGCAGTCTCAAACACGGCATGAACGTTGTCCCGAGTACGGGCTGAGCACTCAATGTACGAGTAGGCACTGATCTCTGCCGCCTGCTTCTTGCCCTGTGAGTCGACAAAACGATTGAAGAAGAGCGGGGGTTAGTGGGGGAGATGAGAAAGGCAGTCGTTCCCAAGCAATCACATGCACACAGTGCCGGCAATATGCATGAGGCAGGCAGGTGGCTCAACGACGGGGAGGGAGATCAAGCGCACCTTCTCCTCCTCAACGGGGGCTTGGTTCTGCTTTTGAAGGTCGGCAATGGTGCTGGGGTTGTTGCGAAGGTCCTTCTTGCAGCCCACGAGGACAAAAGGCACACCGGGGCAGAAGTGGCGGACCTCAGGGACCCACTTGTAGCTAATGTTCTCCAGGCTGTCGGGGTTATCGATTGAGTAGCAGATCAGGACCACGTTGGTGTCGGGGTACGACAGGGGGCGAAGGCGATCGTAATCCTCCTGGCCTGTGTATGGCATGACCGGTGGCACGCGTCATCAGTGACGGAGAGGCGTGATTGCAAGGGGAATGTAACAATACGAAGCTGGCGTAATGGTGTGTTGCCAACTGCATGGCGCGACCGAAACGGTCAAGGCAGAGCGGGGGCAGTACCGGCAGTATCCCAGAGGGCGAGCTCGATGGATTTGCCGTCCACCTCGATATCCGCGACATAGTTCTCGAACACGGTGGGGACGTATTTCTAGGGTGAAGAAACCGGAAGAGAATGAGAACGACCAGGTGAGGTATTCATCAAAGTGCCGGATGGGTCTTGAAAGATACAAGGGAAGGGAAGGGGGAGAGAGAGAGAGAGAAAAAAAAACACACACAAAAAAAAGGGAGAAGCGGAAGGAAAAAGGAAGCAATAAAAATCCCAAGTCCCATCCACAAACCTCGGGGAACTCGTTCTTGGAAAAGACGATGAGCAGGCAGGTCTTGCCGCAGGCACCGTCACCCACGACCACAAGCTTCTTGCGCAGAGGCGTCGCCATTTTTGCCGATCAAAGTAAAATCTAAAAAGAAAAAAAGAAAAAGAGAAAAATCCAGCAAAGCATGGCGGAACATGATGAGCAGTGGCAGTGCAAAGCGAGAGAAGAGCAAAGAGAAAAGCGAAACAGAGAGAAGAAAGAGTAGAGAGGCAGGTGTGATTGCGGGGAGGCCAAACGTGAATGCAGCCACATGTGTTGTGCGGGGGGGGAGGTGCCGCGTCATGAGGGATGATCATCTGGGTGATTTTAGGTTTGAGAAGAAGAAAAAGAGAGCGAGAGAAACGGCAGCCGTGCCAGAGTGTGATCAAAGAAGAAGAAAGGGCCTGTTGACCAAACACGACAAAGGGGAAATGGCAGCGACATGTCCAGTCACAAAGACAAGCAAGGGCAGGAGAAGGAATCGGATACAAGACATATATCCTCCATGTGAGCGGCGGAAAGCGAGAGAGAGAGAGAGAGAGAGAGAGGGTCGCCACAGCACCCACCCACCCCCCCAAAGGGCAAGCAATAGAGCACGAGCGGTGGTGGTGGTGGTGTTGCACACAAACCCTAACAACTCAAAAAGAAAGTGCAAATGCCTCAAAGCAAGGAACAAAGGGGAACAAAGGGGCGGAGGCCAAACCGACCAAACGTGGCAACAACACGTTCCAACACACACACACACACACACACATAAGACAAAGACGAACAAAAGAAAGAAACAAAGGAAAAGAGAGAGAGAAAAAAAGACAAAGGTCCACGAAACCAAAAGACACACACACATACACGCCAACTGGAAAGGCACGGAGACCCATGTGGCAGCGCGAGGGGAGTGACAGGGTTGGCCATGGGGGTGAAGGGAGGCTGAGAGGGCGTTGCTGTGAGTGCCGCGATTGGTTGGTGTGTAACGAGAAAGGGACAGCCTGCGTTGGAGCGTGTGATGTGTGTGCCAGGGCTGGTAATCAAGAGACTCAGTGCCAAAGAGGGCACTCAAGAAAGGGGAGGAGGTCAAGAAGGCCATGGCTGGGGGAGACGCGAGTCCCATTGGCAAACGGTCCAACATGGCATGGATGTGGCAAGGCAAGGAAACGAGCAACCCCTTGAGGTGGCCAAGGCTGTGTCGGTGCGCCACGGGTCTGCCTGAAAGAGGCGAGCTCTCGGGTGTGATGATGCGTCGTGTGTTTGAATCACCAGGGCAGTCCGCGGTGAGCTGGATGGAGCCTCGACGGCGGCTTGCCCAGCTCTGTGTGTGTTTGTGTGTTTGTGTAGTGTGGTGTATTATCCATGGCAGTCCAAATCTCAGATCGATCGTCACCCCCATTCCAAGCCAAACGAGCGAGCGCGACCGGCTTGCGCAGCCCAGGACGAGAGCGGGACCGAGAGGCGACGGGCAAAGAGCAGCGCCAAGAGACCGGACCAAGCGACAAGGCAAAGGGAGACAAGGCAACGTTGAACGTACTGAAGGAATGGCACAAGAAAATAACCAGATGTAGTATTGCCTGTTGCCTTTGCTTTGTCACATGGACAAGACAGAACAACAAAAGATTGAGATTGAGGGATTTAGAGAGATTGAGAGAGAGAGAGGTTTAGAGAGAGGGATGTAGAGAGCGAGATTTAGAGAGAGAGATTTGAGAGACAGAGAGAGAGAGAGAGAGAGATTGAGAGACAGAGAAGATTTAGAGAGAGAGAGAGAGAGAGAGGCAGAGGGACAGAGACACAGAGAGAGACGAACGTGTGTAGTACGGCAGCGGGCATGCCGTTGGGAGATACGGGGTCGCAGTGAATGGGCAGGGTCAAACCTGGGCAGGTCGGGGGCTTCTGGCCAGACAGTCTCTCTTCTTAAAAGCTTCTGCTCTCAGGTGCATGATCCAGTTTCGCTTGGCTTTTGCTTCCCTAAGGATCGGCGATCCCACTCACCGCGGATGCATCGTCCTAGCTCTCATGTACATTGAAGGGCGTGCGACAGGCCTGTTTGGTGGAGTCAAAACGCGCCAGCTTGTGGCCTGGGCTGGCCTGCCGAGTGCGCCGAGCTCGCTGGAACGACTGCCAGCGAGCTAGGTATCCGACCCCTGGGTTGCGCAGACAGATGAGATGCTGCCTCCCAGCCAGTCCCGTCAGTCAGGTGGGCGGATCTCGCCGCCCCACCACCACACCTGTCTGCCGGAGTTTCGCTTATTCGACCATGGTAGAGCCACACCCATACACCAGACTTTTGTTCTTGTGGGTTGCGCTCATACCCATTCAAAGGCGAACGTCCGCCCCTTCCATATAGCTTGCATCACAAAAATTCCCATTAAACAATACACCAAAAAATTCGTATCCGGCTCGACAGCAAAAATCAGAGGGGAAGTGAGTTAGTATAATACTTTGCACAAAGCGGACATGTATATTAGTAAAATACTTTCTGTGGTGATGTAAGAGGGGGGCGGGATTGGTCAGGACGTTCGGGCGACCGGCGCGCGCACGGGGATGGCAGTCGTGTGGGTGGCGCGATGGGAGAGCAAAGCGTGGTTGCCCAGGTTGGACTGCACCTTCAATTTGAATGTAACCTCTTCCCCTTGCTCTGTGCTTGCGTTTGCCCCCTCTTGTCTTGCTTTAGCCCCCCGCCTTTTTTATTCTTGACGGAGACCGAGGAAGAAGAGAGAAGCAGGGCAGGGCACGAACAGTCGCGACAATGGCATCGCCGAGCTTGCGGAAGAAGCTTGTTATTGTGGGTGACGGTGCCTGTGGAAAGACATGTCTTCTTATCGTCTTTGCCAAGGATCAGTTTCCAGAGGTGTGCTTCACCCTGCGTCGTGCCCGCAGGCCATAGCCCTGATGTACAGCCATGGTTTGTCTCGATCCATGTGCGCGAGGCCCTGCGCTGATATCCTTGCGTCTTTGATGGCCACCGGGTAGGTATACGTGCCCACCGTCTTTGAAAATTACGTGGCTGACATTGAAGTTGATGGCAAGGCCGTTGAGCTGGCCCTATGGGACACCGCTGGTTCGTTGCCGCCACCGTCGGTGCCGACACTTGGGCCCGTCCCGCGCGGCGCATTCCTCATCGTTGCAGCGCTTGACAAACCTGTTGTTGAACTTGTAGGCCAGGAAGACTACGATCGGTTGCGCCCGCTCTCCTATCCAGATACCCACGTCTTGCTCCTCTGTTTCAGCATTGACGCCCCCGATAGCCTGGAGAATATCCAGTACAAGGTTGGTCGTGCAGGCGTTCCCTGCCGTGTCGAATTCGAGCCGGACATCAGCCCATCATGGCCTGCACGCACGGCACCGTGCCCGTAGTGGAAACCAGAGGTCGAGCACTTTTGCCCAGGCGTCCCATATGTGCTCGTGGGCTGCAAGCGTGACCTCCGTCAGGATCCCAGCACGATTCGTGAGCTTCAAAAGCTGGGTCAAAAGCCCATTCCTGAAGACAAGGTTCGGGCTGCTCCTTTTCCAGACCCGGCCGTGGTTCGAGCACAGTGCAAGAGCTCAGGGCGGTTGCTTGACACTGCTTGCTCCACCGCCTTCTGTCACATGCCCTGATCATGTCGTGACTTCTCTCTTCAATTGGAACAACACACCATTCATAGGGCCAGAGCGTAGCCAAGGTCATCGGCGCCTACGGCTACGTTGAGTGCTCAGCCAAGACGACGGTATGTCGTGTCATGATGTTAGGCTTTGAGTTACCCAACCCCCCGTTCCAAGGCCGCTTGGCCAGTAATCAAATTTGGATGAAAGCAACCTCATCGTCTCACGTCTTGACGATCGGCCATGTCATGGTGACAGGAGAACGTGCGTAGCGTGTTTGAAATGGCCACGCGCGCTAGCATGGCGGTGCGCACCCGGAAACGCGGCGGCTGTGCCCTGCTCTAGACACCTTGCCACCTGTCCGTACTCGACTATTTTGAAGTTGCCTCGTGTGCATGCGTGGAATCCATCGACCCGTCTGCCGAGGTATACCGACGCACATGACCCACAGCAGCATGTGGCGCTCTAGTGGTATCGTGCGCGCGTGCGCCTTTGAATCCGGCCTGCTGACTTCTGATGCTTGTATAATTGTTGTTGATGTTGTTGATCTTGTTGCTGCTGTTTTTTTTAAGAGAAGCCTGAGCCCCCTCCCCCCCCCTCTCCCGTCCTTTCGAAAATTGACATGTAAATGGACACTGATGTGTCTTGGTTGCTACTGTCTATGCCCCGTGTTTAACCAGCTCCACCAAAGGCGACAGGCAAGGTTGGCTTTGTGTTGTCTTTAAGCAACAGTTTTTGCGGTGTGGAGGGAAGCGTCCTGTCGCGGTTGCCTGCTTTTCGCCTGCTTTGTGCCATTGACTACGTTGCCGCGGCCATCCCGGATCGGCTCTTGCGCTCTTGTCCGAGTCATACCGTCGCATGACACACCACTGACCCGCACAGTCAAATGCGTACGCCGTGTGCATTTGCCACACATGAACGTCACCCATAAAGGCAATTCAGAGTAAAATTACCACACACACACATTGTACACATGTCTAACCCACGCTGTCGCCATAACAAACGGCCGAATCAAAGGCAGCGCCCTCTCCCGTGCCATTCATTCAGTGCGGCATCACGCTCAGGGCCCGTCATTGGCTGATTCCTGTCACGCTGTTTGCCAGGCCCTTGAACTCTTGCTTGCTGGCGCGCTCTGAGAGCCTCCCAGCTGCCCTTTCAAGTCTTCGGCCGTGGTGTGTTTTTTACATACGCTCTCACAATATCTCCTCCACCAGGCACACCTCTGCCGCTCCCTCCAGCTCTACACACTTCTCTACTTATGCCTCTACTTTCCATTGCAAACAAAACCAAGTTCAATATGTCCCTCTGAAAATATCGATACCCAATCCACTCCCTCTCTCTTTCTCGATCCACTTTCTCTCTCTCTCTCTCCAACAGAAAGTGTGTGTGTGTGTGTGTGTGTGTTCCGGGCGCGGGCGCACGTTGACTGCCGTTCGTCGGGCCCCCTCAGTGCCCTTGTACCGATTGCCCAGCTGGGATCAAGCCTTGCTGCATTTGTTGTGCAGTGTCTCCTGCTTCCTCTGGGCCGTGGGTTGTGGGCTGGGAGGCTGGTATGTCTTTGGCTCTCAGATCGATGTTGTGTTGTTCCAAGTAGGTTGCTGCTCGGACGCCTGTCATGCCGGATGGCAGCTGCGTGCCCTGCTTTCAGAGAAGACACGCCTCGGCTCGGTTGATGAAAAGCCGTTGTTAGTTCGTGGTGGGGCTCAGCCAACACCACTCTCCATCCCAGCCCTCACAGCTCGCTGCCATCAGCCGGCGGCAAAGGAGGACAACCGCTCCTCCCAAGTACACGCGCACTCCACACCCTAAACAGGGGCAAGATGGCACCGCAACATGGACAAGCCCTGGCAGCTGCGACAGCTTCGCTGACCCCGATCCAGCGCCGCCAGCATCGCCGTCGCCGTGTTGTCAGTACGTTCCACTGCCTGCAGTTTTTGCACCAAGGCCAGCTGACGCGCATCCGTCCACCTCAGTCCTTCCCACACCCGTGCTGTGACCTCATCCCCGTGTCCTGCACTGTTGCCGTCTCCTCGCCCACTTTCAGGTAAGACCATGGCCATGATGGGCATTACCTTGGTGCTCCTAGCTGGCGCCTCCATCAAAACATCCCTCCAAGAGGGTTGGGCATCCTTGGGCTCGCCCGGCCCCATTGAAGCCAGCGACTCCGTTGCCGCCCTCGTGGCGGGTCCGGCTCGTCGGCTTCTCGGCCTGGGTAGCAAGCGCCCGCTTCCTGATAATCTGAACAATGTCTCGGTACGCAGTTTTGCCTCTTGCCCTTTGTGCAAGCAGCAACCACGGCTCGTTGCGTTGAACCACGTCCTCCTCCATATGCTCATCAAACTGTGCTCATTCAATGCCATGTCATCGTTAGTGTGAGGGATTCAAGCACTACGAAGATCCATGCGCCCTTGTCAAGCAGGCTGACAACTGCCAACCTGATGGCGGCTTCATCAACTATCTAGAGCTCCCATATTGCACGATGAAAAGCGTCGGTGGCTCGGTGGTCATTCTCGTACGTGTCCTCGAATCTAGCTGCCGCTGTTTCGATTTTTTGAGCCCACGGCCATGTTTCTTTCTATACCATGGCAAAGATCAAGACGCCGGAGTGTACCGTGCACTCTCACCCTCTGCTCATATGGCTACGTCTGCCATGTCGCTCAACGCGCAGCTTCTGTGGCTCCTCTTCCTCTTTATCGCGCTCGGCGTGACCGCAGAGGATTTGTACGTATAGGTTTTTATTTTATTTTTTATTTTATTTTTTTTTGCTCGCTTATTCTTGAACACATCTGAGCCAGGCTGCTGCATCTCTTCGTTGAACCTCCGCTTCCTTTGGCACCTTCCCGACTCACGATCGCGATGGCTCTGTGCCCTTGCCGCCGACCTTTCTTTCGCCTCAGCTTCTGCCCGGCGCTCAGTGTTATTTCGGAAACGCTCAAGCTCAGTCACAACGTGGCAGGCGTCACCTTCTTGGCCCTGGGAAACGGTGCCCCTGATATCTTTAGCGTCTATTCCTCCATCAACAATGTACAAAATGGCGCACAGCTGGCCCTCGGCGAGCTCTTCGGCGCCGGCACCTTCGTAACCACCGTGGTCGTGGGCACTGTTGGCTACGTCGTGCCCTTCACCGTCACCCGTCGCCCCTTCCTTCGCGATGTCATAACCTACCTCATTGCATCGATCTGGGTCAGTGCGCACGTGTGCACCTGCGTCTGACGCAGCACTCGCTCAGACCATCATGGACCCCTCAATGCAATCTCACGACCCTGGTTGCTGCCTTGGCTAGGTCTTCATCATCTTGCTTCGGGGTGAAATTTTCACCGGCGAAGCTATTGGCTTTGTGGGCCTGTATGTTCTCTATGTGCTTGTTGTCATTCTGGGTCGACAGATCTATCAATCCCGCAAGGCCAGCAAGTCCAAGCTGCCCCCCAACTTTGGATCAAACGACGAGACTGCGCCACCGGCACTGGGTCCGATGATGCACAACATTAACATCAATGTTGATGATGGCTTGGACACAAGTGATGACACCGCTCTCTTGCATCAAAACGCCTCAATGTCTCCCCCTCCCGGCCTCATGAGTCCGACTCAGCGTCGCGCCCGCGAAACAAATCTCAACGTTCGAGACCTCGTCTCTCCGCCCCGCTCACGCAGCCACAGCATCAAGGAGCTTGTGGATGCTACCGACCGCGTCCTCTTTGCTCCAATTATGCAAGGCGCCCAATATCAAGCTGCCACGCACCATGATGTTGACACGGACGCAGGTGCGCGTGGAATTTTATCAAGCCGTTGCGAAAACACCAACTAAAACACAAAATGATCCCCCCCATCCATCCAAACACACAGAGAGACCATGTGTTTCGGCTTCATAGGGGCTCAACATCACGTATCGCACGACCCTCCTTTTTTTTTTTTTTTTTTTTTTAGAAAACACCGCGCTGCTGCCCTTTGCTGGCGAAGCTGGCGGTGCAATTGGCCCCGCTACTCCCTTTCGCGACTTGCTGACCGCTCTCAACCCCATTGACAGCGAGGTGCGTACTTGCTTTGGAGATACAGAGGGTGCAGTGAGCCAAATTCGCTTTGTAGCTGATGAACCGCACTTTTTGCGCATGTCCCTTGCAGGAGTGGGAATCTTCAGGGATCATCAACCGTGCCTATATGGTTCTTAGCGTATGTCCCTTGCCATCGTTCAACCCCGCCTGTTCATTCTGGTTGGAAGTTGACAACCGACAACCACGCGCATCTTGAGAGCAGCTTTGGCTGAGATTAGTCTTGGCGTTTCAATCACGGTCTCTCATGAATCCCCGGGGGCCGGACGCTTCTCTATCTGCGTAGGCGCCCATCAATTTTGCCCTGACCATCACAACCCCCGTGGTTGACTTTGATGAGGATGACGAGAATTGGAAGCAGTACCTGGCCATGCTCCAATGCCTAATTGCCCCCGTCTTCTTCGTGCTTGGTGCCGGCAGTCAGTCCCCCTTTTTGCATGCATCTATTTTCTTCCCTCCTATGATTAGCCCTATCTGACAACGCTGAGAGGGGCACGGCCATATTCAAAAGTGACAGCACTCATGGTGGTGTGGTGCCATCACACTCTCTCGCCTTTTCTTTCTTTTTTTTTTTTTTTTTTTTCTTTTTTTTTTTTCCTCTCCGCAGTTGGCTTTACAGATTTGGGCGACAGCAACTACCCACTTTGGTTGGCTGCGCTCATGGTCGGCGGTGTGGCGGCCATGATCATTTGGGTGACGACAAGGGCACGAGTGCCTCCCAAAGGCCACGCCGTGAGTTCATCCCGGGCTTGATTCCTAGCCTCAACCTCTGCCATTCTGCTCACTTGCTTTCGCTTTTGCCGAACCTCGCATAGGCCTTTGGATTTATCGGTTTCCTGGTGGCTGTTGTCTGGATTTATATCGTAGCCAATGAAATTGTCAATTTGTTGCAGGTCAGAGAATGAGATCCATCACCTTGGAATGACAACTTGCGCTTCCTCGCACCGCCTCACGCTGACTGATGCGGGTGTGATTCATCGACGCAGGCCTTGGGACGCATGTTCAACATTTCTGATGCTATTCTCGGCCTGACAGTGCTGGCTTGGGGCAACAGCATTGGCGGTTCGTTGCTCGCGCCACGCGTTTCACAAAGCCTCCCTCCATCTCGACCATAGCATGCGCATGACCTGCCTTGTTGGATTGGCCCTTTGTTGTGATAGATTTTGTGTCGAATTTGACCGTGGCAAAGCAGGGGTTTCCACGCATGGCGGTGGGCGCCTGCTTTGGTGGCCCTGCTATGAGTACGTTTGGGCCATGGAAATCTTCGCTTGCTTTGCTGCTTGCGTGCATTTCTTAACATTGTTTCATTTTGCATTCGCAATGGCTCGGGGCTCATGCTGGTGAAAAAACACTTCTGCACAGACATGCTGCTGGGCATCGGCGTTTCAGCCACCGTTGCATGCTTCAAACACGGCGGCACCTTCCCCGTTCACGATCAGAAGAGTCACCAACTAGTGGTGTCGGGTGGCTTTTTGCTTTTATCTCTCGTTTCCTCTGCCATCATCATCCCGGTCAATAAGTTTCGAGTGGGCAAGTACTTTGGCATGTACTTGTGGGTGCTATACACCGCCTACCTTGCGACCGCATTGGCCCTCGAGTTTGCTGGCTGAGAGTGAACAGTCCATAAAAGCTCGAGCGTGGCATGGTCGCCTTGAGCCACACGGCGCCACCTAGTCAAGGACACCACGTCGGCGGCGCTCCAAAGCTTCTCGCTAGTTTATCTCTCGCTCTTTTTCGCTCTTTCCTTTTAGTTGTAGGTGGAAACCGATGATGAGATCATTGGTTTGTAGAGTTTGCGCACTTAGCAAAAAGAATTGACTGTCCAATGATAATGACCCACGGCATCACGTTGCGAAAAAAAAAAAAGAAGAAGAAGAAAAAACGGAAAAGAATGACCAGTGGGCAAAAGTAACTGTTAATTTTTAAGTTTGAATTTGGTGGCGACCGGCATGCAGGTCAAAGAGCGTTTTCGGTATCGAGTAAGAGCTTGAGATACAAAGGCAATCTCGGCAAGCAACTTGATAGTGATTCACTCAACCACACATCGCTTTTGAGTGCGAGGTGTCAGAAATAGCGGGGAGCAAGCGGCGGCCGGATGGGCAATTATAACGGAAAATGTGTAAGACTTGGGTAAAAAAATGGGAGGTCATGGGGAAGAGAGAGAAGAAAATACGCGCATCATTTAATCTTGCTTGGGCTTGGACGGAACGCCTGAGTAGCAAAAAAGGGGGTCAGAAGAACCATGAGCCGGGGTTTAACCGCGAATGTGATAAGATTACAGAGTGGTCGGGCGCTCGTAGCAGGCGCAAGCGGGCTACTTACGGTCGGACATGCGAGCCACGAGCTTGAGGATCTCATCAATGATGAGAACAGGGACGGAGAGGTACAAGACCCAAAGCCATTCCTCGGTGTTGAGAGGCTGGAGCTGGAAGAGAGAGGCCAAGAAAGGCACATAGAGGATCATAAAGTGCAGGCCGAGGGAGAGGAGGTCGGCAGCAATGAGCAGCCAGTTGCGCCAGGGAGGCATGACAAACAGGGACTGGTCCTCGGACACGCTGTTGAGGGCGTTGAGGAGCTCGATGATGACCAGGACAGACAGAGCCATGGTCATGGCGCGCTCGTCCTGGAAGGTCAGGCAGCCCTCCTCGAGGAAGGACTTGTTCGCACCGAGGTAGGTGCTCTCCCAGTTCTCGGCGGTGCAGCCCATGAAGGAGGTCAGCTGGCCCCAAGTGAACTGAGGTCCTTCGGTGGAGAACATGAACCACCAGGTGGAAGCAGCCACGGTGGCGAAACCAACGTACATGCCGATGGCCATGTAGCGGAAGAAGAGCCAGCGGGAGATGAGGGGCTCGCGCGAGTCACGGGGCGGGCGCTGCATGATGTCCAGATCCGGGGGGTTGAAGGAAAGGGCAGTGGCGGGCAGACCGTCGGTAACGAGGTTGACCCAGAGGAGTTGGACAGGAATGAGGGCCTCGGGCAGGCCAAGGGCAGCCGTGAGGAAGATGCAAGCGACCTCGCCAATGTTGGAGGAAATGAGGTAGCGGATGAATTGCTTGGTGTTGTTGTAAATGGCACGGCCCTCCTCAACAGCGGAGACGATGGTGGCAAAGTTGTCATCCTTGAGAATCATGGCGGCGGCCGACTTGGCCACAGCGGTACCGGAGCCCATGGCAACACCAATATCAGCCTTCTTCAGAGCGGGGGCATCGTTGACACCGTCGCCGGTCATGGCAGACACCTCGTGCAGGGCTTGCAGGTGAGTCACAATCTGCGACTTGTGGGCGGGCTCCACGCGGGCAAAGAGGCGGGCGTGTTGCACGGCATCGCGCTGCTGGGCCTCGGACATGGCCGCAAACTCGGCACCAGTGAAGGCCTTACCCTTGACATCCTCCTTCTCACCAAAGACGCCGATGCGGCGGCAGATGGCGACAGCCGTGTCCTTGTTGTCACCGGTGATGACAATGACGCGAATGCCAGCACCATTGCACTCGGCAATGCAGCCCTTGACCTCCTGGCGAGGGGGGTCGAGCATGCCAACCACACCGACAAAAGTCATGTTCGTCTCAACCTTGACAAAGTTGGCCGGGTCAACTGCCAGCTTCTCGACCTCGCTCTTGGAGGCGGGCTCGTCCACGGTGGCAAGGCCAAGGCAACGCAGGGTTTTGCTGCCGGTGCCGTACTCGAGGAACTTGGCCGAAATCTTGGCGCGGAGGGCATTGTCCAGTTCAACGGTGGAGCCATCATCGAGACGAACCATCTTGCAACGCTCGAGGATGCGCTCGGGAGCGCCCTTCACGTAGAGCTTGGGTCCATCGGGGGTACCGCAAAGGGCAGACATGGACTTGCGGTCGCGGGAGAACTCGAGGGTCATCTGCTTCTGGAACTTGGAGCGCACATCCTTGTTGCAGGCCAGGGCACGCGCCTCGGGGGAGAGACCGGCCTTGTTGAGACCCGTGACGTTGAGCTTCTCGACGAGGACGATCAGAGCCGTTTCGGTGGGCTCACCAATCTTGTTGTAGGCACCGTTGGCATATTCAACGCTCGACTCGTTGCAGAGGCTGCAGATAGCCGCAAGCTCGGAGACGGACTTGTGAGTGCTGGGGTTGAAGGCGCGGCCGTTCTCCGTGACCTCACCCTCGGGCGCAAAGGTATCACCGGTGACGTTGAAGGTGACTAGGTTCTTGTCCTTGCCAATGATGAAGAAGTCGGAGACGGACATTTGGTTGGTGGTCAGAGTTCCAGTCTTGTCGGAGCAAATGACCGAGGTGCAGCCGAGTGTCTCCACCGAGGGCAGCTTGCGAACGAGGGCGTTCTTCTTGGCCATGCGACGGGTGCCGAGGGCAAGGCAGGTGGTGATGACGGCCGGCAGGCCCTCGGGAATGGCGGCCACGGCGAGGGCGACGGCAATCTTGAAGTAATAGATGGCACCCTTGATCCAGGAGCCACCATGCATGGGATCGTTGAAGTGGCCAATGTTGATGAGCCAGACGGCAATGCAAATGTACATGATGACGTTGCAAAGCTGCTCGCCAAACTCCTCAATCTTGATCTTGAGCGGGGTCTTGCGATCATCGTCTTCGGCGAGGCTGGAGCTGATGCGGCCCATCTCGGTCTTTTGACCGGTGCTGACGACCAGGCCCAGGGCCTTGCCGCTGGCCACGTTCGTGCCGGAGAAAAGCATGTTCTTCTTGTCCTGGTTGACGCTGGCCTTTTGGATGGCATCGGCATGCTTGAGGACTGACTCGCTCTCGCCCGTGAGGATGGACTGGTCAATCTTGAGGACAGTTGAGTTGATCTTCAAAATGCGCAGGTCAGCGGGGACTTGGTCACCGACGGCCACTTCGACGATGTCACCGGGCACGAGCATCTTGGCTTCGATTGAGGCAACGCCATGCGAGCCCTGACGAATGACCTTGGCCATCTCGGGGCTGTACTCCTTCAAGGCGGCAATGGCATTTTCGGCATCACGTTCTTGCCAGACACCGACGACGGCGTTGGCGATGAGAATGAAAAGAATCACAAAGGGTTCGACAAAAGCGGTAAACTGTTCCTCCTCGTTGTCCTCAAAAAAGGCAAGACCCTGCACCATACAACGGACAACAAAGGGAACAAAGGGCCATGAGAAAGAAGAATTGAGGAATCAAGGACACGGCAAGAACCAAGGAACAAAGGAAAAGCGCAATACAATGTCGTGTCGGTTGTCAAGCATACAGAGAGGACAATGAACTTACAAAGGAGATAACGGCGGCGGCCAGGAGAATCTTGACCAGGAGATCGTCAAACTGCTCGAGAATGAGCTCAAGCAGGGACTTGGCTATCAAGAGGCGTGCACACGATGGCATGCATGAGATGAGGGCCAAACGAACCCACAAGGACCGGCATCAACCAAAAGCCGACGCCGGCTGCGATAATCAAATTGTCGGTTATAACACTTACTCTCTTCCTCCTCAAGTTCGTTGAGGCCATGCTTTTCGCGTGAGGCCTCAACTTGGGCCTCACTGAGGCCCTTGTTTGCGTCGACGCCAAAGTGCTTGCAGGCGGCCTCAGTGGTCAGCAACCACGCCGCTTCAGGCAGCTCGGCCATAGTTCTGTTGGCAAGGGCCGACACCCGGGTACGTTGAGTCGTCGGTTACAAAGACAGGCAAGGGCATCAACGGTCGTCGAGCAGAAGCGAAGGGAGTTGAAGGTGGCAGTCAAGACAAAAAGAGGATGGCAATGAGGAAAAAAAAAGGGCAGTGGCAGCACAAAAGCTTCCAAAAGAATTCAGATCAGATGTGGTGTGTGAGGGGGGGACCAGTGTGAATGAAATTGCCAGTCAAGCCAGACAGAGCAACGCAAGCTCACCCGGGGTCGGGGGTGGCAAGGCCGTTGTTAAGCATAGAGCGACAGGGCTCAAAAAAAGAAGAAAAAAGAAAAAGAGCGGCTTCGGCCGAACTCGATCGAACCCCCATCGCCAAGATAAACCAACAAGAATGATGACATATGTCAGAAATTCAAAGGAAAGGAGAACCAACGGGTTGTCCTGACCAAAAGGGTCAAAGGGAAAAGCCAAAAGGAAAAAAAGCAAGCGTTGTCAAGAAAGAAGGGTCAACCCAACGACATGTCCCCAAGGCCAGTGAAACGGGAGAAGCCTCACGGCCCCTACTCCAACCCCCAACATCATTCGAGGGGGAGGAGGACGGGGTGGGGGCAGAGCCGAGTGCAAAGCCCATGGGCAGGGCAGGTGGACACAAGACAGCAAAGGCAAGAAGATACCGGGAAAACCACAGAAAAGATGGGGTACTGGTTGCCAAACAGAGGACGACGCAAGGACGCCAGGCGACTGGGCGGAGTGTGGAGCGAGGCACAGGCCAAACCAAGAGTAGGAGGCGGTCGGGACAAGTGGATAGAATGTTTCAGAGGTGTTGTGGGTCATTGATCACTGCCACGACAGACACAAGTGGAGCAGCGGCCAGCTGCCGAACCGGAGCATGGGTGTGTGATGCGTTGCCAAGACCACTTGACGCCAACGCCACAAGACAGTCAGCAGCCTCATATGCACCCCCCACAACCACCATTCTTGGGCAGACAGTCGATATGGTAGAAAAACCAGAACACAGGCTTTGCCTCCCCCTCATCAGACGCCGCCATATCCCCCACCGCCACTGACCGCCCGGCGGTTGCCCAAAGTTTCATAAGGGACGTTACCTTGGTCAAAGGGAGAGTGTGAAGACTGCCTCTGAACAGAGAAAAATAACACACACTGCTCACTTTCATATACACATACACATACACACACATGGGGTCTTATGGATGATACACGTTGACTGCTATTGAATTGGTGCAATGGGTCGTTGTCAGCGCCCTCTCTGTGCTTGTTGTTACCACGTGTGACTCACGGAACAGCTTGCAATGCCGACATTTCCCCTTTTGGGTGACTGACGTGGCAAAACTTTTTTGACTATTTTGGGAAACACCATTTGGTAGCATCAACTGGTTCTCGAAGTTTTCGCTGACATGGTTCTTCTCGCTTTGGGAGAGAGAGAGTTGGGATGGCGGCCATTAGGGCCCGGAGCGCCAGGTCTGCAATTGGCGGCGGAGATCGGTGCAGAGTTGCTGCATGCGCTCCTGGGCATTGGAATCTGATTCGCGCGACAGCTTGGCTTCAAGCTGTCGCAGACGCTCCTCGTAGCCTTGCACATTTTGAAACACGGCAATGTGCCGCCCGCTGCCTCCCACGGCAAAGCAATCCCCCAGCTGTGAAAACGACAAAGCTGTTGCATGACCTACCGATCAAGCAATAAAACAAAGCCAAGTGAGGACAACCGAGCACCCTGCGCCGGGCAACACCCGAGCGGGTGAGCAGTCGGCAAGGAGCGGGGAGGTCACTGACCCTTGGCGAAAATGTCTGGGATATGACGCAGCAGTTTGCCTGAACTGGCTGAGAAAATCTGGAGGTGATTGCCGCTGGCGACCACAACACTGCCGCCTTGTGGGTCTATAGCCACAAAGCCTCGCTGGCCCACTAGCTCAGCCTGACCGCTCGACAACTCATGCGTATCTTCATTGGACTTCCACCGCACCCTACAAGCCATCAAGCGGGGTTACCTGAGGCGCGTGCTCCGCCATGCAACTCCAGCCCATGCATGCGCGCCACGTATGGAAGATACAAAGATACGTACGCAATGTCATATAGCTTCCAAAGACCGTCCTTACACAAAGCGGCCATCCTGGCACCCAGACAACACACCGTGCAGACCGTCAGGTACCAGAGACTTAAAGCAAGTCAGCTACCGCAAGCTTTCAACGTGAACCCATGATACCAACCGGCTTGAATCTGGCGAAAACGTAAAATGAACAACGCCCGTCGAGAGGCCTGCCAGTGTCATGGCTTTGGCTCCCTGAAAATGACAACCGCAATACATCATTGGATCGGCCGGCAGGTGTGTTAAGTCGGGCAAGCTGTTGCGAAGCAATTGAGGGTAGGTATCAACGCTAAGCAAGACATACGTTGACATAGTTGCCGTTGGCGCCCACGGCCACGCATATTTTGACATCAGGCGTAAATCCTGGCCGCAAAAGTTGTGACACACATTGGAGGCGAGGGGTCAGAAACGAAGAAGAAGAAAAAAAAATACAATGAAGCAGCAGCAACAGCACAGGGTTCGCGTGCGCACAACTTGTATGATTGAAAGGTAAAAAAAAAGACACTGACCTGAGTAGGCAAAGAATTGACCACTGGAGCACAAGTGTAACCAAACAGGAGCCCGATTCGTGGTGGGCAAAGGAGAGATACGGGACCGACGGACGTGCATAGTGTGAGAATCCCACTTATACTGAACCGAACCAGGCGGCGGCAAACGTGCAAAACATCTTCGCCCTGACCATACCATGGGGAGACGGCAGCATGGTAATTGGTACTGGTCAGCGTGCGAAGCTCTTGCAATTTGTTCCCGCGTGGATGATAAATCTAAATCGGGATGTAGGCAAGGCGTCAGGATGCGCCCATGTGCCTGCCTGCCATCTTTGAAGAAAGGAGTCCACGGTGGGCGCCGGGCAGCTGACCTCAATCAGCTCCTTCTCGTAGCTGAGCATGACATATTTGGCATTGTCATTGACAGCAACGCCGACGTGCCGCAAGGGACCAGCGCTAGTTGTCGGATGCTACCACATATCACGCCAATGACGTGGGGATGGAATGGTCATTGCTGGGGGAGGGCAAGCTGATTGACTCTTGGAGGCGTGCGTACCTCTGGGAGGGTAGCCAGTGGGCTCACGTCCTTCTTGCTGACCTTGAACAACTGTACCTGTTGTGCCATGTGCAATATAACTGCACAAACTCTGCCGCATATCGAGTGAGTACGCAGGTCATCAGCCACATGCTGGTCGATAGCAGCTCGAGGTAGGTAGAGAGAAGGACATGAATGGGGGCAGTGGGCACATTCTCTCTTCAGGTATTTGAATAAACTCACTTGCCGTCCGTTGAAAAGGCAATGGCGTCGCCGTGATCCAGATCGATGTTGGTACGCACATACCCGTGTTCTTTCTCAGCAAAGTCAGCCAAGCGCCACATGCGCAGCGTGCGGTCCTCGCTGCAACTGGCCAGGTGCTAACCAGGGAATCCCGCACAAGAGCAGCATGGCCAAGGTAAAGCACGAGTGAGTGCGCCAGCCACGCAACCAGTCCGAAAGCCGTTTCCGACTCTCTCAGGCACTCAGCCACCAACCTGGCCCGATGGCGAGAACACAACGTCTGTGACAGGGCCCGTGTGCCCCTTGAGAAGGGTGAGGAGCTGTGGTGGATCCACGTGCTTGGCTGCCGCGACCTTGGCCTTCGCCTTGTTCTTGGCGTCCTTTTCAGCCTTGGCCTTGTTGGCCTTGGCTGCTGCCTCGGCTTCCTCCTGCTCCTGCTGTGCCCGAACTGCCTCAGCCTCCGCTTGAGCTTGAGCTTCCGCCTTGGCGCCACGGCGCCGGAGCAAGACAGCCAGTACCGCTGCGACGGCCATGGTAAACACCAGACCCAACAGCGTGGTTCCCTCCATGTTGGCAAGCACCGCTCACCACCTCAAGCCACTGTTAGGACCTTGTCAAGATCGCTCTGTCCTGGCTATCGTCCTGCAAGCTCCCAGTGTCCAGTGACACCCCCGAGTTGATCTCTGAGAGAAATAGAGAGAGAGGAGTTTTTTTTTTTTTTTTAGAGAGAGAGAGAGAGTTTGAGAGAGAGAGAGAGAGAGAGAGTTTGAGAGAGGTTATGCAATCGTTGAATCTTGTCGAAATGGATTGACATGTGAAGAACCTGGTGCCGCCGATGAATGAGAAACGGTGGGTGAGGGAGAGATGTGTGTGTGCTGGTGAGGCGGGGGGAGAGAGAGAGAGAGAGAGAGAGAGAGAGTCTTGGCGCAAGGTAGGGGCTCGATTGGTATGGACAGGTCTGGGCCAGTGGGTCTCTCCTCAAATCAATGGTCGCAAATTTGCGGGTCATGCAGCGTGACTGGGCAAGGGAAAGTGCCAAACTGCGCGGAGTCGCTGACGCAACCGTTGCTTCTGCGACCAGCTCGTGCTGTGCTCCAAGTCGAACAAGAGGGCACACACATTGGGTGGAAGGTGGATGTTGAAGCAGCGAGCCAGGGCCGTGCGCAAGGCATCTGGGCTTGCCAGTGTTGACACACGAGTTTCAAGCTTGACGTCGTTGGGATCTGGGCCCCACACCACGCGCGTCTCCGTCAGCTCGAGCATCAGTAAGCGCACATGCAGTGCTTCATTGATTTGGCGCTCCAATACCAGGTGATCTGCGAATATACTCTCGCTGTGCTCTTGCACGAACATGTTGATGGGGACGACGTCGGTCCAATCAAAGGCTGCTGTGCGGTCGAAGCTGTATGCACGGCGCCACATGCCCGTTGAAGGGGGCTGATACCACAGCGTATACTCCTCTCTCGCACTTAGCGGCGCCTGCACGACGGTACGGTCCAAGCGCGTCAAGACGCGCCCGCTACGCTGAGGCTCTTCAGTTTGCAACAGAAGCGGTTCCAAGGGGGCCTGGCGCAGAAAGCCGAGATCGCACAGGTAAACGTCCTTGGGTGGTGCATCAGGAACGCGGACAAGCAGCAGCATGTGGCCTCGTGTTGGCACGTACGGCTTGCGAAGGTGCTCGCCATCGTCAAGCCACATGCGTGCATCCCGCGCTTCAAATTCGTATCCTAGTGTGGTGAGCACTGCGGCAAACAGCCGATTGTGTTCAAAGCAATAGCCACCATAGCCCATTGCAAAGCGAGGCAAGAGCGCCTGGGCATCGATCCGGCCCCCATTGCCCGCAAAACAACTCAAGTTGCAAAAGGGAAAGGCCAGGATATGCGCCCGATGCAGCTGGCGTAGCTGAGTCAGGCTGGGCTTGGCGGACTTCTTGGCCACGCCGACTGCAGCGAAATAGAAGCTCAGCTCGTCAGCAGTAAGCCCCATGCTCTCAACGGCCTTCAAGCCGGCAAATCGCTCCACCTGCTCCGCCATGACGCCCCTCCTGCACAGCGCGCGCCCTCAACCTGCCTTCTCGTAAGCCCAGTTGAAAAATGACCAAGAAGCTGGCACTGACATTTGTCAGCCATTTCGCCACCTGAGGGAGAACATCCAGCGAGAACAACGAGTGGTGTGGCGTGTGGCGAACAGTGGGCGGCAGAGTAAGAGACCCATGTGTGGTGTAGCAATGCAATTGTGCGCGTGTGGCAAATGGTTATCATGAGATGGCGGCTATGACCCGCGGCTAGAGAAGCAGGCCCCAACAATAAAATACATAAGGAGTATAGCCATAACAAGAACGAACAGCCAAGATGTAATTTAAGGAAAACAGGTCCTTTTGCCGGCTCGTCGGCAAACTTGGGACCGTTCTAGCAGCGGCTGCCAGCTGGGGTGGCTCACGAGGAGGAAAACACACCAAACAGGGATTCGACTACGGCTGCAAATGCTGAGGTGGGCATGAGGATGTCACGGGGCCATTCACACGGTTCTGGGCACACGTGACAACCGTAGCGACGCCGCTCGGCTTCAGCCTCTTGCATCCAGGGCGTTCCCGGCGCAAACTGGGCAATTCGTTCTTGATAGTCAGGGTGGGTCATCCACATACTATGTTCATTGATCAAAGCACGCATGGCACGCCGCGGTTTGAGCTAAAAACAAATCCAGAAAAGCCAAAGGCAAGGGCATTGGTAAGGAGCACATACGTATCAATGAGAGACTGGGCCTCAATGGTGTCATCCAAAAAGGCCGACGTCTGACCATCCTCGTTGGGTGAATGGTGCACCTCGACGCCGTGGTGATGTTGCCCAGCGTCACGTTGATGCGTGAGTTTGCTCTCGTGCAACGTGGACCAGGCCTAAGGAAGAGCAACATTCAGCAACCAAATGAATAATCAGCAGGGCATTGGGCATGAGAGACCATCTCGACAACCGACCCGAGCTGCATGCACGCTCAAATTGATGCTTTATCAAAATAAATAATAACGAGGGGGCGGGGGTCAAGGAACGGCTAAGAAACGGCTGGGACCTGTGTAAAATCGCACCTCATGCGCCGCATCAATGTCAAAACAGGCACGGCTCAAGAGAATGAGACCAATGTGGTCTGCCTCACGCTCAATGAGCCGAGACTGGGGTAGCGTGAGGCCCAACGTCGTCATTTTGTGGATGGTGCTCCGTTCATGGGAGCCGGTCAAAAAGTCCACGCCACGACGAATCCATTCAAAGCCTGTGCGCTCGGTATTATGCTCAGCGACAAAGTGGGCCATTTCATGGGCCAACACAACCGCCAATTGATCGTCTGTCTTCATGAGCCGCAGCAGACCAGTGTAAATGAGGACGACGCCGCCGGCTGAGACAAAGGCGTTTTCCTGCTCATCGTCCTCCAGCACAAAGTAGCGCAGGGGGCAAATGTGGTTGGCCGCGCACAGCCGCGAGCCCACGCGCATTACGCGCTGCACGTCCTACATGATCCACAAAGATTGGGATGGTGAGGAAAAAGTGGATAGGAGAAAGGAGTCTGAGAAAAAATATTGAAACAGGATGCCTAACAGGCGCTGAACGAGGCGATGAGTAATCGGAGGCGATGATAGATACACCAACCGGATGGTCCGAAGGCAGGGCAACGGGGGTCAGACTGTCAACCATCGTTTCATCATATTCACGATCCAAGCGATTCGCGACCACAGGAGGAACCAGATGCAAACGCCAACGGTCTGTGTGCGTTCGACAAAGCGGATGAGATGAGGACAAGATGTGGGGCAGGGGGCTTGAAAGGGGGGATGGTGCTGTCAGCAGGCCAGAGAGGATCGGGGCACACAAGTGGCATGCGAAAGACCTACTGGTAATGGGGACCTGCTCGGTGTTGGTAACGAGGAAACCGGCAAGACCAACGAGCGCCAGGTACCACTTGAAGGTGTCGCCGCGTGGAGATTCTTTCTCAGAAAACCCTGTGTATTGGTCAACCCACAAGCATCTAGATGAGCCAATCGAAACAGCAAGCTCGTGTCCCTGACAGAGATCAGCCCCCAGAGCTGTGCGCACTGACGTGAGACCATGATACGGTTGCATGGGTACTTGACGCAGCTCTCGCAGTTGGCGAGCGAGGCACGAGAGCACTTGGGGGTTTGCTGATTCGCGTTGATGTGTGTAGCCGCTAGAGGGTGACAGAAATAAGCACGGAACCCAGGCCATAAGCACGGGAGTGAGGCGCAGTATTTCTATACTGGGTTGGGCAGAATGCGTCGTCTGGAGCGAGATGCAGCGCACATACGTTGAGATTTGCCACCACCCATGGAGATGGAGGATTGTTGACGCATACCACCGAAGTTGAGGCGTTGCAAACGATGGAGGCGATCAAGTCGCCGACTTAGCAGCCGTGCCATGAAAGATACTTGGGCCGCGGCCGCCATTTTCGCTCGTGCGAGGGTCACACCACCCAGACCTGTCCCTTGCGCAAGAAGCGTAGGGCATGCGTGAGGTTCGAGTTCTGCCACAGCATGAAACCATTCATTCACCTTTACAATTGGCTACATTCTGAGATGACCAGAAACAAGCCCTCATGGGCACGCGAGGCAGAGGCAGACTGGAGAGCCAGCAGCACACCACCACAACCACAGGCATGTCACAGGCATGTCAACCCGTCAACTGACCCAGAATTGTAAAATGGCGCCGCAGCCGTCTGTTGTGTGTGTGTATGTGTGTGTGTGTGTGTGTGTGATGATCATTGGTTGCCAGTCGCAAGATGTCAGATTTTCTGTGATGAAAGGATCTGCAACTTTTCGTTTATTTACTACGAATATGAGATGCTAAGTTAGATGGCTCAAGCAGTGTTTTTGGTCTTTTTCTGCATCTTCTTCAATCTTATATGCATTTAGGTGTTATGACGGCTCTGCTGTCGTTTTGGTCGCGAGTTGTGGTCGGGGCCGCGCAAGATGTGCTGGGAAGAGGCTTTGCAACTTGGGGAAACCGGTTTGGAATGATCGCACATGGAACACACATCAAGCGCCAGCACCAGCCACGCATGGCTCCGCTGCCCCTGAGCTGCCGGCTTCCTTTTCCAAGTCTTCACGGGCACCCGATTGATTCAGGCCTCCAAGGCATCCCCACACCAGGTGTGGGATGTAACAAGAATTGTCACGTCAGTGTCTCAAATTTTGGTCAGGAGCCCCATTTCTGTCCAAGTTCTTGTTTTTTCATGAGCAGGCCAGATTGCGGGCACACGATCAATTGACAGGATTCGAGAGGCAACAAGGCTCGCTCACACCGCGAAAGAGAAAGGGAATTAGCACCGCAATCAAACCTATCAAAAAGCAAAGAAGCAGAGCAAGGAAAAAGAAAAACGAAAACACGCAACAAACTCGCTGAGCACGGGTAGCACAGATCAATCACATTAGCTGGGCTGTTTCTCTCGCCCAACTTGATGAGCCTGTTTTCCTCGCTATCACACTTTACTGGGCTTGGGTCTGGGCAAAAAGCTTCTCCATGTCCAGGCGGAACCAAGGGCGAGCATGGGCGGGAGCCATGGGACCATCAATGACGGTGCCGTTGCCATCGTTGGCTACGGGCAGACCGGCCACGGATACGTGGATAACGTTGTTGCCATAGTCATAAAAGGCAGCATGCATGTCGCCCGAGGCCGTGTTGCCAAGAACATTGCGGATGGTGGTCTCGGCGTCGAGGCTACCATAATACTTTGTCATCAGCGAGCCCATGCACGTGTCTGAGGAGGGCTGGACGTGCTTGTTGATGAAAACCAGGCCATCGAAGAGCGGGTGCGCAGGGAGGTAGGAGGGATAGTTCTTGTCATCGTACACCAGGACCTCCTCGTGCGAGTATTCCACAGCACGGAACTGCTTGTCCAGACTGCTGCCCACGCCCAAGTGTACAGAGCAGGTGCGCTTGCTGTTGTAGATGCGGTTCAACGTGTCATCGATGGTACGATCAAACTGGGCTGCGTCACGCATCAGGAAATGGAACGGCACACCCGCACGGCTCGCAGACTCGTTGTAGGACAGCCAGACCTAATACACGGGACGAAAAACGGCAACAGTCAGTCAAAAGGGGACAAACGAGGGTGGGAAAGAGAGCGAGAGAGCGAGAGAGCGAGAGAGAGGGAGGGAAAACAACAACCACAACAACAACCACAACCACAACCACAACAACAACAACAACAACAACAACAACAACCCGGCGCTTAGATTTTCAAAAGCAACCGTCGAACCTTCTCGGACATGCCAACCAGACCACCGTAGGAAGTGATGGAGCCAATAAAGCCGTTGAAGGTCACACTAGCAAAAGGGTGGCCCAAACCTAGTCGAGATGCAAACATGAATGAAAAAACGGCCCCCGTCCCAAAGTTGAGAAATGCCAAGGCCAAAAAAGGGGAGTGCCACAACGAAGAAGAAGACATGGAATCCAGAAAACCGCCAAGAATTAAGCCACAAAAGCTTGAAAGCACACCTTCTTCCGGATGGTAGACGGCAACGAGGCTGTAGTTCACCAGCGGGTTGTCAAGACCTGTGATGGGGGGGGAGGCCAACGCGACGGGAAGTGAGTCATCCGTGGATCATTTGCTTTAATCAGTAGGGGCAAGAGTGAGAGAGATGCTGGCACGTGGAAACAAAACCTTACCCCAGTCGAGGGCACGCAGCTGGTTGACGGTGCCAGAGACGTTGGCGATGGCGGGGCCCCAAGCACCTGCGCATCAAAACGAGGGTGAGATGCACATTTCCAACAAAACGGGGGTTCTTCAAGAAGGGCGCAGGCATGTGCCCAGGCGAGTTCAATGCAATATGAGCCACGAGGCCTCACCAAACATGCTGCACGAGGCCTTGATGAGTTCAGGGAAGAGATGCACCTGCAGGACCGTCTTGTAATCAATGCCGCAGTTGCAACCGTCGGCCAGACCACGGATCTGCAAATCCCAAATCCAGGCAACATGAGAAGCGGGCAGACATGACGCGCCCACAGGACGATGCCAGAAGTTGTACAGTCAAAAGTCAAAGGAGATCAAAGAAACACCAGCACACCCTTGCTCAGATTAACGTAAACAAAAAAACAAACAAACGAAAACAAAAAAAAATTGACGCGCAGCTCACCTCATCAAGAAAGTATTGGGAGATGTAAGGCATGGTCAGGTCGACCTCAAACTGAAGGGCGGCGGCAGGACCATCCTCCAAAATGATCTTTTGCACATCCTGTGGGAGGATAGGGCGTCAGTTGGGAATGCCGGGACCAACTCGCACGTGCTGCCGTCTCTTCTCTCGTCAAAGAGGATGATCACAGACCTGAGGCAGCCAGTTGATGTAGGGGGCAATGGTGTCATCCAGGTACTCAAAGAAAGCAGCAACCATGGTCTTGATGTCATCGGCAAGCAGCTGGCCTTGAGCATAACCCATGGCGTAGGGGCTGCCGTACAGGTGCAGGACTCGCAAAGTGGTGCCATTCTCACCGGTACCAACATGGTACAGCGAAGCGTTCTCGATCGACTTGACCAGCACGGGATCCTGCCAAAAACAACAGAATGGGAGATCAAATGAAACGAACCATGGTCAGTGATGCCAGAAGCTAACGTTGGGGCGCATGACTTGCTGCCACAGCCCAAACAGCACGCTGATCGCGTCATTGGGCAGCAAAAAAGGCGGTAAGCAAAGCAAAGGCGACGGCTCAGATGACTGACGCTGGAGTAAATTGGGCGAAGATTGGGGGTACCCGGGCAATCAGCCCGAATGGCCACGGGGGCCAGGGCCACCAAGGCCACCAGGGCGACTGCCCAGAACGAGCAGGTCATCATCGTCATGTTGTTGGCAGCCGTGGTGTCGTCGGGGATCAAGTCAAGCGGTGCTGCTCCAAAACTGCGCGTCAACCAGCCCAAACCAGCACACCTGCCCTTATTTCACATATACCTCCTGGATCTAAACCAATTTGGTTCAAAAAAGGGGGTCAGATTGATTCTCGAAATAAAAGTTGTGACCCCTGTCTTCACACCCACCACAGGCCAAAAGGCCCCTAACGTAGAAAGGCTGCTACTGTTGCATGTGTAAGACAAAAAGGAACAGTTGCCGTTGCCGCTCGTGCTCTTTGTTCGGTCTCTGCGAGCGCAGCTCTGACTCTGTTCTCTCATATGGCGCTCTCTCTGTATTGCCTTTTGTTTTTCTCGTTGTCTGTGTCTCTCCTCTCTCCGTTTCTCTGGTCTCTCTCGTCTTTCTCTCTCTGCCTCTGTGTGTCTCTCAACAAGCCTTTCGACACTTTTGAAATTTTTTGTATTTCACTGCTGTGTGTAAGTGTGCGTGTGCATGTGAATTGGCAGTGACGGCGGGCGGGCTCAAATGAATGCAGGCGGGGGAGACTGGAATGATCGGCGCTCATAGCTGTGAATGGCATGGCATTGGCAGGTATTGGCGACCACTGCCTAGTCTGATTACGACGAGACGCCGCTCCGACGCTTGGGATCAGTCGCATTGATTTAGCTCGAGTCTGCAATCGGAATCAAAGATCCCACACAACATGGCGGTCGTGGATGTGTGGCTTCGCCCGAATGGGCAGAAGCTTGGCTTTTACCTCAGCCTCAACGAACAGAACCAGCTGGTGGTGGATCAGGTTGATACGGATGGTGTTGCGCATGAAAAGGTTCGACCCGGCGACCAACTGCTTTTTATCAACGACACTCGTGTTGTCTCCTGGCAGCCGAGCCAAGTTGTGCAGCTGATCAAGAGCAACAATGCGGAGCATCTCAAGCTTACCATCAACCGCAGCACCATGTCCCCATCCATCGTGCCTCTGGCCAGTGGCAAGCTTTCGACAGAAGAAAAAACCAGCGAGCACACTAGTATTGTGCGCCTCCAGCTCATTCCTCAGTATGATGGTTACCCCGGCTTTGAGGTGGTGGCCTCAGGTAGTGATGAGTACCGTCACCAGATCAGTGCCGTTGACTCCACCTTGACCGATTGCCTGGAGCCCGGAGACATTCTGCTCTCCCTCAATTCGATGCGCTGCGACGTCTCCGCCATCGAGGCCGTCAAGTACATGCTGAACCACTACGTCAAGGCCAACGAGCCACTGCGTTTGGCGTTTGTGCGCCGCTCCAACTTGGCCATGAAGCCCGTCAGTCGCCCCGACACAGCCTTGTTGTCTTCCCTCCAGTACGGTCGCTGCATTTTCCGCCACCCGGCCACCGGCTCGCCTGGCTTTGAAATGAGCATCCTACCCTACGAGCTGGATGATGGACGCACGCCCAACGCCTTGGCCCAAGTCACACAGGTCGATGTCAACTCGGAGGCCTTCCGTTGTGGGCTTAAGCCCGGGCAAATTGTTCTGGCCGCGAACAACGTGCCCCTCTCCTCCGTCACCCAGGATGACCTTGAAGCCGTGCTTTCCTGGCTAGGCTCCAACCAACTCGTGAATCTGGTCGTCGGCTGGCTTCATGCGCCCGATGCCCTTGGCTTTGAGGCCGTCCTCACGCGCCGCAACAAGAGCGATCGCCTCGGCCTCCATCTCACGGACCGTCTGCCTCAGTTGTACACCGAGACGGGCGTCTTCATTGAGACGGCCACCATCGACCCACAACAGGGCGGCAGCAAAGTTAACCTCATTGAGAACGGCATGCTGATCTGTGCCATCAACGGCAAGAGCATCCTAAACTGGTCATATGAAGAGGTTCTCGATGAGCTGAGTGCAACCGAAGGTGAGGTGCGCCTCTGGCTCGCCCGCGCCATGTGGCCCGATAAGCCTCAAGGCCCATTGGATACCATTGCGGAGGTGGCTCCGGCTGCCAAGCGCACCAGCATCATTGCCATGCCGCGTGATCCTACACATCAAACTACCGAGCTCGAGAGCCACGCTGAACTGCTCCGCGAAGCTGCAACCCTCTTGCAGCAGATGCAGTTCAAAGATGAGAATGGCGCACACGTCGTAGAGCATGCCATTCCTGGCGCGCGGGTTGGTATCGAGCATAGCGTGGTGTTTGGCTTGCGCTGTTCTGAACATTTCTCATCATTATCCGACCGTCGGGGATGAACTTTTTGTTGCATCTGTGTGATGATTTAGCTCAAGGCTGGGGACGCCATTTTGTGGATCGACGATGCTTGCGTGCTTGCTTGGTCGGCGGAAACGATCCGAGGTCATATTCAGCGCCTGCACAATGGTGACGTGCTTGTCGTGCGCGTTCCGGCAGAAGCCGTTGGCCGCAAGACCTACAAGGCGGTCAAGTCAGTCGCTTGGCTCTCGAGTGTCCGAACCATTGCGTGATTCTGCAGTGCAAATGTCTTGTTCGTGATGTTTTTGTCGTTGTTAGGTCGTGTGAACTGAATTTAAAGCTTCCACGCTCGTCCTCACTCACAAGGTATTGCTACCCCAGGGTGGAGCGTGGTGGTGAACCCTTTGGGGCCAGTTTGGCCGGTGGCGTGCTGCCCCTTCAACCCAACATTTACATCCAAGCAATCAAGCCCGGTAGGACAGATCGTCTCAATCCCTCTGCCTCGCTTGCTAGCCAGCCAGTTCCCAGATCTGCACAAGCTGATATCCTCCCTTGCTATCCCTGCCAACTTTCTTTTTTTCTTTTTCCTTCTTCTCCAACAGCGAGTGTCGCAGATCGCGCGGGCGAATTCACGCCCGGTGATATTATCCTTGCCGTCGATTCTACACTGTCCGTACTTGATCGCTTGGCAAAAGTGTCAATGAACCGCTTCGCTTTTGCTTGGCTTCATATCTCATAGATGGCAACTAGAGACACTCACCTTTGCTTTGGGGCTGTGTTTTTGGGGCTGTGGGGACTGGTTTTGTTTGTGTGTTTCTTCGCAACGCTTTCCTCTAGGCTGGTCAACCGCTCGCATCAGGATGCTGTCAATGCGTTCCGAGCTGCCACCAACAAGGTCAGTCAAGGCGCTCGAACCGTCACCCGACCGACATGGTTGGGTAATGTAGAGGGGCGAGTACTGATTGCTGGTGATCTTTTTTTTTTGCTTTTGCTTTTGCTTTTGCTTTTGCTTTTGCTTTCTGCGCAGATGACAGTGCTGGTGGAGAAGGAAGCCAAGACGGCATGATCAACCAAGAAAGTCTTGGGCCTGGCCATTGTACCTCTTCTACATATTTGTGGCCATGCGTTCCTGTTTGTGACATTTTGATGTCTCGGATCGATCCATGTGAAAAATCGAGACACCATGCCTACGCAAGTAAAAGGTCCAGCTGGCTATCACGGCGCCGGTACAGACCAGCAAATGTCGAGGAGTTGTCGGGTTAGAGGCACTGGAGCACGTGTCGATTGCAAACTCACTCTCACATAAAGAGTCAAAAAACAAGTCGGTAATCTGAAAAGAATGAGCTCGTTCAAAAGATTGAAGAGCAGTTGGGGACGCGACCGATATCAAGGAAAGGCGGGAGACAACGTCGTGCCATGCAGCCAAGGTGGGAAAGAAGAACGAGCATGGCCAAGGCCAAGATTTAAAAAACATCAGGCAACAACCACTTCCGGGGCAAGCACGAGGGGTTGCAAACCATTCGAAGACGCAGAGGGGGTCGAGACACCAGCTGAAGAAGCACGGTGGCATGGGGACTAGAGGATGGTTTTACGAAGGGAGTTAGATGAGAAGCGGTTGCTTTTGAGGCCACAGTGTGGTGTGGCGGTGGCAGAGGCGGCGGTGGAGCGCCGCGAGCGCTCAGTGTCCGAGGAGAATTGCACGCCACTCGATGCGACTCGTCCTTCAAGGCGCGCCGCAGCCATTTCGAGCTGACGCTTTCGCTCCGCCTCTTTGGCCCTGAGATGATTGGCCTTGGTGCGAGCTTGCAAAATCCCCGTGCGAATCGGAGAGAGAATGAGCCCGCAGACGATTTCCCAAGCACGTCGGGCTTCAGGGTTCCACTTCTTGCCGAGGCCGATGGCCAGTGTTTTGTAAAAGGTTTCCTCGAAGAGGTCAATGTGTTCGGGCTCGACGCCATACTTGAAGTGTCGTCGGCCGAGTTTTTCCAGCACCTCAACAAGGGAGTAGTACTCAAAGAGGCCTTGTAGGGCAGTTTCTAGAGCCTGACCAACGCGCTTGGCATGTTCAGCGAGGCTGCTGTTGCCTTGCAGGCGATCGACGTCGAAGGGAAAGAGTGTGCGAGCGTAGGGAGCCCGTTCGAAGAGATAACTGAAGAAGACTTCATGCCAATTGGGTACGAGCTGCACGACACGCTTCCATTGTTTTCGGGCGAGTTTGACGGCCACAGGATCAAAAGAGGGGTAATCAGGAGCATGCGCCTCGTCCTCGGACGAACCCGAACTTCTCCTGCGGTCCGACATCGCGTGCTGTGTTGTAGCCGGTGTGTGTGTGTGTGTGTGCGATGGAGGAGGGAGGCGACACCGTTCCAAGAAGGGCCTCTCAAGCTTTGCAGCGGAGCCAGGCGGGGGCTTGGGCAAGGGGAGAGAAGGCTGTGGCAGGGGCCAGCGAGGTTGCAATGTCAAGTTCGTGGGTTGAAAAACGAAGGACACGCCAGGGTGTCCTAACACAACGGCGGGACACACACAAGGTGCTCAAGCCCAGAGGCAAAAGTGGCACCAAGGACTCGCACCAAACGTGCCCGACCAGCAGAGCAGGCGATGAAAAAAGCAAGACAGGTGAGAGAGCTAAAACGCTGCCGGATGCTCTCGAACTTTGCTGATGATGAGCTCTCAAGAAATGCGTCGCTGCGTCCTGAGACAAGAAAAAAAAAAAATAGCAGTGTGTGTGTGTGTGGAGAGAGAGAGAGAGAGGGACACACGAAGGCTCGAGACAAGTCAGAGATGTTGTCATACGAAGGGGCAGGGGTAACATGAGGTCAAAGGCAAACAGAGAGATTGGCATAGTGAGTAAGATGACTTTCAGAGATAGAGACAAAATTCAGACAAATGCAACACTTGTCCTGACTCCATCATCATGTGTCATTACAATGTCATGGCACGAATGCGCCGCCCCCATGGTTTGGTTAGGGAGGGGCGGTTGTGTGGAGAGGATGGGGGTTGGGGCGGGGGGTTGGGGATCAATTCGGCGGGATTGTGTTACAGTACCAATGAATTGGCCAACCTTCTGTCCAATCGCACCCGTCTGCTGTGAGACTGTCTGCCAAGCCTACGGGCCAAATCGAGGCACTGATCTTGTGGTCGGCCCAGGGATTCAGCTCGTGTGTGGGGGGGGGGGGGGGGGGCCCAATCCTCCACAAGGTTGGGGG